TGCAATATTTTAAAGAATTGTATTGTCTAATACCTTATTTCTGGTATACGAGAATGTAATTGTAATTTGTCAGATCCTTTCAGTCTTCTATCATAATTCCTTACCATGACAGTTTACTTCTTTTCTTCCATTCTTCAGATCTTTTTCTTATCCTACTGTGTTGGCTAGGACTGTGTTAGCTAAGTTCTTGGCAGAACCAGACTTTACAGTGTGAGTATAAATGTTGAAAGTAGGCATTCTTTATCTTATTTCTGACTTTAAAGGTAATGCTTCTAGTGTTTAATCAGTAAGAGTTGTGCAGGTCTGGTCACCACTTCCAACGTGGGTGTGAGAGTGGGGTTGGGGTGTGGGGCAAAGGATGTTCTCACAGCAACCAGTGAGTCTCCAGGACCAGCCCGGTGTCCTACAATTCAGTTCCCTTCTGACACTGTCTACGTGGTAGTCATATCCCACAGGTTAAGGTCTTAGTCCCACAAGGCTGTCTGCAACCCCAGACCCTAGTGGCAAGATTGGAGGTTCCAATGACCCCTCCTTGGGTTCAATTGATTTGCTAGAGTGGCTCATAGAATTCAGAGAAACACTTTATTTACTAGATTACTGGTTGATTATGAAAAGATATAACTCAGAAATAGCCAGATGGAAGAGATGCATAGGGCAGAGTTGGGGGAAGGGCATGGAACTTCCGTGACCTCAGCAAGTATGTACCAGTCTCCCCAAATCTCCATGTGTTCACCGGCTCACCAGCTCTCTGAACCCTCTCCTTTTGGGTTTTTATGGAGGCTTCATTACATAGGCACAATTGATTAAATTGCTGGCTATTGGCAATTAAGTTAACCTCTAGTCCCTTTCCCTTCCCTAGACTTTTTGGGAGGGGAGCTAGTGGGGTGGGACTGAGGTTCCAACCCTCTAATTACATGGTTGGTTCTCCTGGCCACCGGCCCCCATCCTTAGCTGTGTTCCAAAATCACCACATTCACATAAGACACCTTATTGCTCTCATCACTTGGCAATTCCAAGGGTTTTAGGAGCTCTGTGCTAGAAACCAGGGCAAAGACCAAATACACATTTCTTGTAAATCATAACATCACAGTGGGTTTTGGGAAGATGTCTTCTGTCATGTTAAAGTTTTTTATAGAGTTTGCTAAGCATTTTTATTGTGACTGGGTCATGAATTTTATCAAATGCATCTTTAGATGTTACGGTTCAGACAGTGGTTTTCCTTGCATGTGCATGCATGCATGAGTGGGTGTTGCATGACCAGACTTAGTCATGATCATTGTTGTTATTGTTTTTATAGAGTTAATATTGTTTAGATTCACTTTTATTTTTACCACCACTTTGTTCACCTCTCTTCACGTGTGTAATGCCTTCTATTCCTAGAAGTTCCTTTTAAAAAAGTCCCTCCTTTCCTGTTTTTTTTTTTTCTTTTTTAGTGAGGGTGTGTTAGTAGTAAATTCTCTCCATCTTCATCTGAAAATGCCTTTATTTAATGTTCACTCTTGAGTGATACTTTGGTTGGGCTTTTAATTTTAGGTTAACAGTTATTTTTCTCTCAACAGTTTGGAGACGTAACCTTGGGTCCTCTAGTGCTACTGTTAGAAGTCCACTATCCATATATACAGTTAATGTCATAGTCCTTCCTTTGTAGGTAATTTGTCTTTTTTTTACTCTTGATGCTTTTAAGATCTATTCTTTGTTTTTGGTATTCTGCAATGTCCTTACAATGTGTGTTGATTTTATTTGGATTTTTCCTCATTAGGATTCAGTATGGTTCCTTAATTGGGGTATTCATGTATTTCATTATTTCTGGAAAATTTCCTTGCCATTATCTTTTCAAATGTTGTTCTACTTCATTTTCTGTATTCTCTCCTTCAGGAATGCTAATTGGAGGTATGTTGAACTGCCTTATTTTATTCTCCTTGCTCTTTATCATTTAAAAAAAATACATTTCTGAGTAATATCTTCAGATCTATCCTCCAGGTTGTTAATTCTTTCTCTAGCTGTGTCTAATATGGTATTAATCTCAGTGAAACCGTTGAGTTTTAACTCCAGTGACTAAAATGTTCGTTTCTAAATGTCCTGTTTGGTTCTTTTTTCAGTCTGCTTTGTGTTTTTTGATAGTGTCTAATTCTTTCTCATGTTTCCAATTCTTTAAGTTAATAATTATTTTAAATACCATTCTGTAATAGTTTTTATCTGATAGTTCAGTTATCTCTAGTTCTTGGGGCTCTAATCCTATTGAATCTTGATCACGGTAGATTGTTTCCTCTTTCTCATATGTTGCAACTTTGGATTTTGAGATCTTTTTTAGCAAGGCTTTATCTTTCGGAATTCTCTGCAATATGGGTTAAGACTGTCTTTCAGAGATTTTTCAGCCATGGACCACTATTTATTTTTATGAATTGGCTGGGAATTCCTGAATAATGTAAAAATCAAATCTCAAATCCACTTAAGGTCAAGGCAGGCCTTCGGTTACAAATATTTAGGAAAGACAGTTCTCTTCTCTTCTCCTTTTTTCTTTTCTTTTCTTTTCTTTTCTTTCTTTTCTTTTTCTTTTTCTTTTTCCTTTCCTTTTCCTTTTCCTTTTCCTTTTCTTTTTCTTCTTTTTCTTTTTCTTTTTCTTTCTTTTTCTTTTTCTTTTTCTTTTCTTTCTTTTTTACCTAGGACTTAGGCCAAGGCAGGTAATCTTCCTGGTCATATTTTGTCAGTATTCGTCCTTTTATCTGAGGATTGAGGTATGGTCCCAAGTTCCAACCTCCCTGTATCTGTCAGCTTTAAGCTCTCGTCTGAGTGGCCATTAAAACTCATTGGCCTCATTACTAAGAACAACTTCCCCCCTTGCCTCCCAGGGCTATTGTAGTAATGGCTCATTTACTTACTCCTTTAACTTAGAGTTCCTTCATTTTGGGCCTCTAGGTGTTTACTTTCTTCTGAAGACAACTGTACATTTAAAAGTATTATATTTGTGGTGGTGCCTGGGTGGCTCAGTTGTTGAACGTCTGCCTTCGGCTCAGGTCATGATCTCAGGGTCCTGGGATCGAGCCCCGCATCGGGCTCCCTGCTTGGCGGGAAGCCTGCTTCTCCCTCTCCCACTCCCCCTGCTTGTGTTCCCTCTCTTGCTGTGTCTCTCTCTGTCAAATAAATAAACAAAATCTTAAATAAATAAAAGTATTATATTTGTTATATTTTATTTATCATTTCTAAATTTCTTTTAGAGAGTGAGAATTTTCAAGTCATCTACTTTACTGCCATTAAAGTTAAAGGTTTTTTTAAAAGATTTTGTTTATTTATTTATTTATTTATTTATTGAAAAGATTTTATTTATTTATTTGACAGAGAGAGACACAGCGAGAGCAGGAATAGAAGCAGGGGAAGTGGGAGAGGGAGAAGCAGGCTTCCTACTGAGCAGGGAGCCCGATGTGGGGCTCGATCCCAGGACCCTGGGATCATGACCTGAGCCGAAGGCAGATGCTTAACAACTGAGGCACCCAGGCGCCCCAAAAGATTTTATTTATTTTAGAGTGAGAGAGAGATAGCAATAGTTCTCACCTCCAGGATGCCCTGAGATAAGACTTTCCCAGAGCATTCCTCGCTTTCTTTTCCTTCTCCATACATGAAGCCCCACATACCCCACAGTTCCTCACAAAGAGGTGGGTATGAGGATGAGTATGGTCAATGTCCACAGTGAAGGAAAAGGAGGAGCTGAGTGAGGGGGTGGGGGGTACAACCTAGGCGGGAGTAGAAGTTCCAAGGAACTTGGCCAAGCTGCAGGCGCTTAGACTCCCAGCCCTGTGTTTGGGCTACTGGTAAAGGGCAGGATTGTGTTGTCAGCTTCTGGGGACACCAGCAAATCAACCGTGCTATAGCCCCAATATGTGAGAATCTTCCAGGGCCAAAATCTTCCTTTGAAAGAGCCCAAGCTGAGGATGGAATAGGAGAATGGTGAACTGCATTTTATTTTGTATCCTTTTTCTTTTAATATAAAATTTTAATTGTAGTAAAAAATACAACATTTATCATAACCATTTTTGAGTATATTAGCTTGGTAGTGTTAAAAGTTATATTCATGTTGCTGTGCAACAGATCTCCAGAACTTTTTCATCTTGCAAAATTGAAAGTGTATACTGATTAAACAACAACTCCCTACTTCCTCCTCCCCCCAGCCCCTGGGAACCAGCATTTTACTTTCTGTCTATGATTTTCACTACTTTAGATACCTCTTATAAGTGGGATCATACAGCATTTGTCTTTCTGTGGTTGGCTCTTTTCACTCAGCATAATGTCCACAAGGTTCATCCACACTGTAAGGCTGTTCTTCCTTTTTAAGGCTGAATAATATTCCTTTTTGTGTATATACCACATTTGGTTTAACCATTCATCTGTCCATGGACACTTGGTCTGCTTCCACCTCCTGGTTATTGTTAATAAGGCTTCTATGAACATGGGCGTACAAATATCTCTTCAGGACCCTGCTTTCAACTTTTTTGGATATATACCCAGAAGTGGAATTGTTGGATCATGTGGAATTGTTGGATCATATGGTAGTTTTCTGTTTAATTCTTTGAGGAACCTCCATCCTGTTTTCTGTAGTGGTTACTATTCTACCAACAGTGAACAGTAATTTACATCCTTTTTGCCCCTTGTTGATTTGATGTCAGAACATCTGTTGGTCCTTGGTCCCTCCTACTTCTCAGCCCTGTCTTGGATTCTTAGAGCTGTGCTCAGAGAGTGCCTAGGCCATTGTGCTCATTTGACAGGGTGGGAAGCTGGGGGTCTCCAGAGGGGGAATGACCTGCCCTAGATTCCAGGCCTCCTGATCCTCCCAGACCTTTCACATCATTCTTTACCCTCCGGGTCCCTGGCCTTTTCCCTCCAAGCTCCTGTGCTGTGGATGGCCAAGCAAGGAAGAGCAACTGATTCTAGGGCTTGGCATTCCCCGGGACGCCCCGGCCCACGGCCACATAGTTCTTCCTCCAATGCTGCGGTTTCTGCCCATACAGGTCCAACGGGCGCTCCTCCAAGCGGAGCCTTGGAGGGCAAGGCCGGCACCATTACCTCCAACGAGTGGAGCCCTCCTAACTCCCCTGAGGGGAGCAACGTCTCTGGGGGCAGTCAGGCGTTGGACAAGCCCATTGACAATGACGCAGAGGGTGTGTGGAGTCCGGACATCGAGCAGAGCTTCCAGGAGGCCCTGGCCATCTACCCGCCTTGTGGCCGGCGCAAGATCATCCTGTCAGACGAGGGCAAGATGTACGGTAAGGAGCCTGTTGGGGTGGGGTGGCAGGCCCGTGCCCTCATGGTTCAGTTCTGGAAATAGGGCCCAGGCATGGGGGGTACACAGCACCCTTGGGGTTCTCCAAGTAATGGAAGGGGAATGACCACTGGGGCATTTATCGGGTGGATGCTGCTTCCTTCTGTCCTGGGTTCCCAAGGGATGGGAAGGCATGTGAGGAGAAGCCTTTGAGTGGGTGAGAAGCTGTGGTAGTAGAAGACTTGGGAAAGGGAAGAACACCTCTCACCCCGTGAGAGCATACTGGGAAAACCCCATAAGCTGCCCTCCAGGCAGATGCCTCATCAGTTCCCAGCTCCCCACCCTGGGCTGTGAAGGGAGGTTAGGGAGGTGGTTACTGAACTCATTCCCCTCATTTGCGCACACACTCAGTTGTGAGCCTTCTGTGTGCCAGGCCTAGGTGGGGAAGCTCTGGCTCCTGCTCACAATATGGTGGGGGTAGGGGAGGTGAACACACGTAGAATGTGCTACAAGGCAGGTGTGGAGTGTCCCAGGAGAGAGTCCAGCAGAGTTCTGTAGACCTTCACTCAGGAAAGGTCCCCTCCAGCTCAGAGCCATCTGGAAAGGCTTGATCTTTGGGAGTCCAGTAGCCATGTGGGAAGAACAAAGCAGTCTGGCCGGGGCTGTGCTGACCTTTGGATGGAAGAGAGGGTATGTGGGAAAAGTAGAACAAAACCAAAAACTGAATAGTTATTGGAAAGCCCCGGTCAGGCTTCTATTCCCGGGACCCCCAGCTTGAAACACCGGGCTTGGGCAGGTACCGGGAGGGTTTCTGTAACTGGCGGGCGCTCCTGACAACAGAGGGCCCTGCCCTGGCTCCCAACAAGATGGCTGCAGGCCATGTGCCCACCCCCAGGGTTTTCCATTCAGGTTCTCTCTCCCCCATGCGGTGCTGGTTCCCGCTCAGCCCTCCAAGACAGAGACTTTGTCAGCTGTCTAAAGGGCGCTGTGTGAGGGGCTCGTGGGGGCTGGCCGTATTCGTCTCCGAGGGCTGCTGTAAGAAATGACCACCAGTGGTGGCTTCACACAGCAGCAACGTATTTTCTCACAGCTAAGGAGAAGTCTGAAGTCAAGGTGTCTTTAAGGTTGGTGTCTTTTGGGGGCTCTGAGGGAGGATCTGTTTCAGTCTCTCTTTTAGCTTCTGGTGGTCACTCGCAGGCCGGGGTGTTCCTTGACTTGTAGCTACATCACTCCAATCTGTGACTCTGCTGTCACTCTGCTGTCACATGGCCATCTTCCCTGTGTGTCCTCGCCTCTTCTTACAAGGATACTAGTCACACCTAATCCAGTGTGACCTCACCTTAGTACAACTGTAAAGATCCTATTTCCAAATAAGGACACATTCTGAGGTTCTGGGTGGACGGGAGTTCTGGGTGGACACTCTTCAACTTAGTTCAGCTAGACGGAGCACATGTCCAATTTGTTACCACCTTGGGGACCCATGGGGCTCTCATAGCCCCTGGCACTCATCCTTTACCTGCAGCCTTCCCTACAAGGCCACAGTGATTCCTCTCATTCTTTTACTTGTTGGGGGAGCAAGGTCTGTGCTAGTTGGACCCTGGTTCTCATCCTCAGGCACCAGTTATAACTGTGCATCTCTCCTCACCAGCCCCACGGCTGTGGCTTTGCTGGGTCTGCACAGAGTCTCTCTGATTTCTGTGGGCCTCCGTGCCCTGGGTCGGCCCCCTATACCGCCTTTGCTCTAACCATTTCTTGCTCTGGTGTTTGCTTCTTACTTCTGGCCCCTATGGAAGCTTCGTGGAAGAGACTGCTGACGTGTATGGAGCACCAGGTGTGGGATGAAGTGCTTTACATAGGTTATTCCCATGGAGCTGGAGAGGAATGGAGAACTGGTATCTTTGGTTCTTTCTGCTACTTTGGTGGAGAATGGGAGGGGTGTTGATGCAGAGCTGAGGTGTGAGGGTGAGAAGGGGTGGGGAGCACAGGACAAACCTTGAGAGCTATCTGGGTCTCTTGTTGGGAAGCCATGATGTGTCTTCAGGATACTGAAGGATACTTGGCATGATGTATCTTTTGTGCTTGAAGGAACGAATTTTCTGGCAAACACAAGTGGCCAAGGGGCATTCAGCAGAAGGAGAGAGCTGAGGGTGCTGCAGGTATCTGGTGGGGGATGGGGCGTGGAGATGGTAGAACGTGGCAGAATCAGCAGACATTTATTGGAGTGCCACTGTGGACCGGACTTTGAATGCCGAGATGTCTCTTTTTGTGTGTGTGTGATAAAATACACAGTACATAAAATTTACCCTTTTCACCATTTTTGAGCGTACAGTTTGGGGGCATAAAGGACTATTCAGGCTGTGGTGCAGCCACCAGCACCATCCTTCTTCAGAACTTCTTCATCTTCCTGAGGCTCCATACCCACTCGGCACTGACTCCTGTTGCCTCCTCCTCCTGGCCCCTGACCACCACCACTCTTCTTCCTGTCTCTGTGGACGTGACTACTCTCGGGACCTCATACAAGTGACATCAGACTGTCCGCCCTGTTGTGACGGCCTTAGTTCACTTAGCATCATGCCTTCAAGGGTCCTCCATGTTGTAGCCCAAGTCAGAACTTCCTTTTGCAGCCTGAATAATATTCCATGGTATGGCTAGACCACATTTTGTTTATCTGTTCACCTGGTGGTAGACATTTGGGGGTGGATGCGTAGTTTTATTTAGTTGTTATGGGTAGATATTTCTCTCCCCACTTCACATGTAAAGGCATTAGGTGAAAAGACTTTGTTGTTGGTCAGTAGACGATTGTGACTGAGTCGGTTTGGGCAGTGCAAGCCTGCGAACCTCTGGCAGGCCTTGGAGTGGACTTCTGTTTGGCCCGGGGGAGCTGTTAAGTGGTGGGGGGGAGCAGGATGAAAACGGTGTTTGGCAAACTGTCCTGGCCATGTTCTTGTCCCGTTTGTGGCTCTCCTCCTGCACAGAGAGACAAGGAGGGGTAAAGGGTGGGGGGATCACACAGGGGCGGACCTGGGAGGAAGAAAGGGGAGGGGGGCCGGGGCCAGGAGCCCCTTAATTATGCCGAGGAAGACAGGAGCGGTCAGTGGCCTCTGACATCCTTATCTCTTGGATCTTTTCAAGGGAGGAGGGAGGAATTGTAACCTCTGGTTGCAGATGCAGAGATAGAAGCTCAGAGAAGCCAAGAGTTTCTCCCAGAGTCTCTCAGGTAGTAAGTGGGAGAGCGAAGGCTAGAAGCAGTTCCCCTGCCCCCAAGCACAGCACTACCCCCATCACCCTGAATGGCCTTTGTGAAGCCTGCTGCCCCGCCTGCGCCTGTGCTCCCTGTCCCTGCCTCCTGCTTGGCCCAGGCTCCAGGTGGGTCAGGCCCAGGGCAGGGGCACTGGAGGCTGCTCCTCAGTGTCTGATGACTCACCCGGCCCCCACAGCACCTGTCCTCCGTGAGTACAGATCCTGCTGGGGTCCAGACACTGGCTTATCCGCATCTCTTCTTACCAGGCGTGGGGGCTGAGCCAGGGCAGGACCGCTCACGGAGTTGGTGAAGGGGCCCTCGGCAGGGGCTGCCGTCCAGCTGGGAGGTATATATAGCTCTGAGCTCAGCCCCGTGTGTGGGATGGGACCCCGGGAGGTGGAGGAAGAGGGACAAGCTGCCAAGCTGACTCAGACCTCGTCTCGCTCTGGCTCCTCTCCATCTTCTCATCTTCCCTTGGGGGACCCACTCTTGCCTCCTCCAGTGCCCTGGCCCATCCTGGGCCCCTGAGAGCCCCGGTCTGTACACACCCCACTTCCCGCAGTCAGAGGCCATTGGTGGTTTTCCGGGTGGGCCGGCCCAGTGAGACACAGGGCAGGAGCTGAGAACAAGCAGGCAAGAGAGGCCTCAGGGAGAAGAGCAGGATGATCTAGGGTGCCCCGAGGAGGAGTCGTCTAGACCTGGAGACTCTGAGGACAGAGATTCGGCCTGCTCCCAGCTCTGGCCCCAGGACAGCCCGAGTGGGACACTCTGAGGAGGGCCAGGCCGACATGAAGATAACATGCCGAGCTACAGGACAGATTAGCACCTGTTATTTCTGAGCTGAGCCTCCCACACTTGTGGACGGGCTCCCGGGGCCGGGGCTGCTAGCCGGCTTCTCCTCATGGCTGCTTTCGTTTTTTTGCCCTGTCACTCTGTGACCCTCGCCCTGGCACTGCCACACTGGTGGCTCTGACCTCCTTTGGCCAGCCTGGCCTCTGGCCCTGTAGGCAGGTGGTGGGGAGGTGAGCGTGGGGCAACTTCTCACCCCCATCTGCCCGCACACTCTGTCTTTCCCTCCCCTCACAGCTCCGGCTTGCCTTCTCTGTTCTGCCTGCAAGAGGGCTAGCTGGCTCTGTCTTCCTGTGCATCCATTCTTTCCTGCCTGCCATGCTCCTGAATCTCCCAGCTGTCCTGGTCTCTCTCCCCTCTCTTTGCTTCTCCTCTCCTTGCTTCCTCTGTTGTCTCCCTGGGTGCCTTGTGGCCCAGGCTTCTCGTTCCCACTAGCAATCCAGCAGCTCTTAAGCAAGCAAGGTCTCACTGTCCTGAGCCAGACTGGGGCTGAGGGCTGTGGCCTCCATTCTCCACGACTTCACGGGGCAGCAGAGGGACAGGAGAAACAACTTTAGAAAGTAAACTCATGGCACTTATGTTATATAGTGTCACCCAGAGGGCTAGGTTATCTTGAAAGTTTTCTGGAAGGAAGTGGAGCATGAGCAGGGTAGAGGAGGGAGGTGTTCAGGGAAGGGGAAGAGAGTGAGCACTGGCCCAGAGGTGGGACTCTGTGTGGTGGTTTTGGTGGGCGATCTGGGCAGGTGCCGTGTTGACGACTGTCAGAGCTGAAGGGACCGTGTTTTGGATGAGTCACGCAGCTCAGGAGAGGCAGAGTGGGGACTGGGCCCAGGTCACTGAGATGATGGGACAGCAGTCAGCAGCCTCATCTAAGCTTCTTTCCCTGCCTCTGCCATGTTCCTTGGATCCTCTAC